GTAACGGGTTATGGACCGGCTGTAGTTATCACCGTCTTGGGCACTTTGTCGTCATATTTCCTCACCTACCCGAATTTTCGACTTAATGGCTCGTGTCGTCGATGCTTGCCGTCCACAGGGGTGACACGGCCCTGGGACATAGGACCGGCCTAAACTGTCCCCCAAATGTGGCAGCTTCGCGGTGGCACAAAGACGTACGCGTTGCATGCGCCTACATGTGTGCCCCTTTTTCTTACTGATGTGTTAGTGTGTGTGAATAAATAACATCGCCCCCGACACTAGATCAAAGCGAGGACCACATTAGCTCATGACCCGCACTGGTAAGGCTGTGCTGTGTCTGCACGAGTACCTGGTCATTTCTGTGTGTGTGCGCGCGCGCACAGGAGGAATGCTCTCACTAACACGCGCAAGTTATGGCGCCACCCTTTGGACAGTTATGGTCCTCGTATCTTGTGACGGACAATATGTACATGACTTTGGCATGTACAAGTAGCATGTATGCAAGTAGCTCATTTGCCAGGCGTGCGCCTTGGTATTGCCACCGCATGCTGCGAGATCGCTGAAGATTATCACCTGTGGAAGCGCCGGCGGATGCAGGACGTTTAGGCAGACAGACAGCCCCGGCTCTCTACTCAGCTTTTCAGTCCTCCAAGGTGGGGGGGGGGGATGTGTGAAGTCTAGTTCCGCAAATAAAATGCACGAACAACTCGTGGTACGTACACTTTGAGTGTACTGTGTTCGGTCAGCTGTTGTGCACAGTCCAGCTCGGTTGGGTCTCCGTCACGGTAGAAGGTGGCGGAGTCGAAACTGCGTTGGTTTGTTTCCCACCATATAATGCAGAAGCCGCCCCCTCCCCCCACTCCAATGTTAGCGATCCTAATCTGCAATCATATACCGGCTACTTGGTATAAATCCCTGCATACGCTTAGTATTCTTCGTGCAGGAACAGCCAACTCTACAGTGCTCTTGTGATTTGTCTCAACGTTAGTCGCCTTTTCTGTCTCAATTATAATTGCCTCATGTCATTATTATTTAGGGATCGGTTGCTTTGCTGTGTAATTAGGTTGTCTGTCTTCAGGTGGAGAGGAGGGCGACTTGACCTCTTTTTAAGGGTCAGTCGAATTCATGTCCTGGCTTTGAGTAAATGTCCTTTCCAGTAGCCTGTACCGATCCTGAGAGTTTGTAAAAGACGACTACGGCCTCGTTAAGGTTGTTGATACATATTAACGCCCGCAAAACGCATGGTTTACTCAATTCTGATTCATCTGTCGCAATCGGAGGGCACTTGGAGAGCTCAGAACCAAAGGCTATTAAAAAGACCAAAACAAGCCAGAGTCTTTCACAAGATGCATTACTTTTAAAATAATCTCAAGATGCGTACTTGTTTAAGTTGAAGTTTATCACTCTATCGACCGCCGTTAGTTCAGTTTTCTGGAACCCGTTTAAGACGGGGCCTGAATTTGTTCGGTTTGACAGACGAAGATTTGGAGATATGGAGAAAAGAAGACTCGTTCGTTGGGGCAAGAACTTTGTTCGACTTATGCTTCAAGTGCATGCTCGAACCCATCGTCATGGGTAGAAGTAGCCGCATTGTAACGGGCACAGTATCTGCAGATGATAGTTTTTACGCATCCACGCATCTGCTAAAATTGCCGGTTGATGCATCGCTTGTGGAACGATTACGTCGGACGAACCACAAGATTGCTCTGGACACCAGTAGCCCATTATGCAATAGTACTCTAACTCCCAAGTCTCAGTTCACTTGACAGTACTCAGTCGCAATTGAAAGTCAACTGGAGCTAAAATCACCAAAGGCAAACGCTAAATCTTCTGTGAGCCATTTTTTCCGAGGCAGGCGCATAGTTTCCGATGCTTTCGAAAGTACTGATTGAGCTGACCTTTGTCACTTCCCTTACCTGTTAAACAAAACTGCTCGTCCTTGCCAGAGATTAAGGCGATGACCGCGACTATAGGGCGCCCATTTTGTAGTCCTGACGGGTGCTGATTGCCTTCTAAGCTCCTCTAGAATTGCTGTTTTCGCAACTCGGGCAGTCTAAATATACACAAGTTCCCGCTTGAAAGGAGTAACCACAGGGCGTTCGGGCAGGATTATCCGCTCTTATCATCAGCCTGGTGTATGGTGCGATTACCCCACTGCTACCACGGCCCTCCTTCCAGAATAACATCTCCGAGACCTACTTGAACTGACTTTACGGTCGTGATAGTGCGCGCATCATATCGATTGCAGCAACTTATGTACAAACACACACACACAGACGCTCGTGTGTGTATGTGTTTGTGCGCGTCTTAGTGGCGCTATTGGAGGGACGCATTGTAGTACTGTGTCATCTCTGTCGTTTGTCTTTCTCGCCAGCGCGTGCGCGCTCGTACACACACACATCCGCATCACCTCACTGCTTGCGTGCGTGCGTGCATGCGTATGCGTTCGTGCTTGGAGAGAGAGAGAGAGGGTGACTGCGCGGGCACTATGCATTTTCGCTCTATACTGAGCTGGTGCGTCCGTTTGTGCTGTGCCCGCGCCGGCACCATGAGGTCACCACGAACGAGTGGTTATCACCGCTAACATAACCCCGCCTGCTTGCGCTGGTGTTGGTAAATACGGAATCGGAAGAATGGCGCACACCCCTCTACTCGCGCAGTTTGCGCCTGCTATGCGGTCTGTCGCTGAATGGGTCATTTGTCAGGCCTTTCCAACACACCGCCGATTTTGAGACGAGCAAAGTTGATTATCTAAGTCTGGGTCCACAAGCTCACTTTGAATGCGCATTTACCTCATTCAAGGACGTATTGTCGATTTATTCAATGCCACCCGACGGACCTTGCGACGGGCTTCTGGAGTGCCGTTAAAGGCCCTGACAATGGTGTTTATCCGGTCCCTCAATACAACGTCAGTCGCCCTCCCTTCGTTTATGGTTCTTAGGAAAGCGGCGACCTTATCCACGAGCCAAGTCTCCATCTCTGTGTCATCGACGTTCTTCAGGATCTATTTCTTCTGAGTCGGTCTATGTCCTCAGTGAAGATTGTCTACATTCCTACCACTGCTGCTGACTCTCCAGACTGTCCTTCGAAGTCATCTAGATCTTGTTGCGTATTCGCTCTGTCGAATGCACTCGGGGTTCCGCCATCAACTCACTGGGGGGCACAATTGCGCTTTCGAGTTGAAAGATAAGGGCCAGCGACATGCCGAAAGTGCAGTCTAGACGTTCGAATATTTCACAGCGCGTGCTTTGTCCTAACCACTTACTTTTCCTAGGCTGACAAATTTCAATTTTCTCCCCGATAATTGCGGACTTTCGACCTTGAATTACACACAAGTGTAAGCAAAAGACGCTGTTACCGATCGTAGGTTTAAATGTCCTAGTGATTTTGTGAGAATGCGAAGAGAGTCTGTGACGTAGAGCAGGGGGGTTTGCATGTACAGTGCGTGACCGATCTCATGAAAGGTTGGCTGAAATTCTAAAATGCATTTTCGACTAGGAAGAGACATAATAGTCCTATGGTATTGCGGACTTGCTAGGATGTCGGCTTTTGAATGCACCTCTTTTCGACCTTCGGCAGAAGCCACACTCGGTAAAAAATGACTACTTAAGTAGCATGCATTTTTTACGTTTATTTGCGATGGTCCTATAAATTCAAATATATTTTATAGAAAACATGCACAAAATATGCTTCCTTTTATTCTTTTGGTAGACAATCACATTATCTTCACGTTTTATACTCGAAGAAATGGTATCTTTCGGTTTTAAAAAAGTTTTTAATTATAAAACTTTCAAGACCGTGCGATGTCCATATATACAGCATCGCACATGCCCGTTTACCAGTGCTCCTCATGAAACGTACAACATAGTCGGCATTCATTACAAAATTCCAATGAACTCCACATGGTATCTTCTTAAAGTCATGTAGGAATATATGATTTCCCCTACGTGGATAGCATGGACCTTGTAGACCGGAATCGCTCAACGCCAATGCAATGGTTGATCTGGCTCAAAATTATTCGCGAATTGGGACACTTCTAAAACCGAAAGATACCATTTCTTCGAGTATAAAACGTGAAGATAATGTGATTGCCTACCAAAATAATAAAAGAAAGCATATTTTTGCGCATGTTTTCTATAAAATATATTTGGATTTATAGGACCATCGCAAATAAATGTAAAAAATGCATGCTACTTAAGTAGTTATTTTTTACCGAGTGTGGTTTCTGCCGATGGCAAATCAGCCTGACGGTTAATCAGGCTGGCGTCAGAGTGCCAGACCTCTGTCATCTGAGTTAATTTGCTTCCAGAGGCGTCAAGCGCGAACTGTTAGCCCTCCTCGAGATCGCGCACAGCGGCATGTGAGCAGACGTACCTCCGCCTGACCGCTTGTCTGTTAGTGTCGTTTGTCTTTTACGCCTCAGTACTTGACTGAGCACCTTCCGCAACTAACACCGTAGCTTGTTACTGGAGTGCCTGTGTACACCAACCGGCTCCCCAAAGTTGCGTTGATCGGTCATAGTGATCATCCAGTGGGATCTGAAACGTTGTTGGTGCAAGGTGGGAGATGCGTTCAGACCTCTTTTTGACTTGTTCCGATGCCCGCATATCTTCAATACGGACAGTTGTTAATGAAAATGCTGGAACACCCATTGCATGAAAGAAAAAACGTCACGCATGGCTGCGATCGTCTAGCTTTCACTGTTTTATGCCGTTTAAACGATCACGACTTTGTGTCAGCCCGTTTGCGGAGTCTGGAATATCCTGAAGCGTTGATATCTATGGTGTTGTTATCTGTAACATTTATCTCGGCGGCAGACCAGCATTTAAGATGTTGACAATTCGCCCCCAGCCGTCTACGTCCTAGCAAACTGTTGATTGGACCGAGGCCGCTTGTTTTTCTGGAAAACCCCACGTCTTTACAGGCCATTGATTACTTCTTTCACACTGAAAACGTCTTCACAGGTCTTCCCCCCCCCACCCCGTTTCCGGTTTCTACATATGTTTCTTTTACATCGGGATGTGAACGTTGTGTGCTGTTGGGTATGTGCATGCGTTTATTCTGCCCGCCTGCATGCCACACAGCTGTGTTTTACTGAAGCCCTGACGCATGCTTTCACTCTTTGCAGTTTCTGCGAGAATATTCTATGTGAGGGAGAAGAAGATGAGGAAGAGGAAGACGGGAATGAAAGAGGTGCCACTGTCGAGCAGTCTGGATCTACAAAGCCGCCCCATGGTCTACCCAGCCCGCTGACTGGTTCAGACTGTTCCCCCAGTAGCGGCTCGACTTCGTCTGTCCTTAACGGGCTCGCACCTCAAGGCACGACCGGGCTGTCCAGATTGGCCGCAGTTGCAACCGCTGCAAGCCTAGGCATTGACATCTCCGAGCTCACCAGCGCACAGCGATCGGTCAGGTCGGTTTCCTCCTCTTCCCCCGCCACCAGCCCCTCCGCTGGTAGTTATTTGGGCGAGTACGTTCGTCGCTATCGCTACCCCGACGGTGATACCCGCTACGACTGGCTCTCTTGTCCTCTCACGGAGATGCAGCACAGACCCCGTGCTCATATCTCCACCTCTCTCCTTCCCTCCAAGGACGCTTCTGGCGGCCCTCTTCTCGTCTATGACAGCACCCTCCCGCCTGCCTCTACGCTCACCCAGCCTCCTCCTGCTCCTCGTCGACGACCATTCCTTTTAACCGGGCTGGCCAGCAGTTCGGGTGGCTTGTCGAGGAAGATGTTAAGGTGTGAAGAATGTGGCAAGTACTATCGCAATGAGTATAGTCTGCACCACCACATCTGCTTAAAGAGAAAAGATGTCTGGAAGAAGGGCGATGTGCCCTCAGGCCTGATTGACGGGCAGGTGATCTACTTCTGTCCGGCCTGCAATAAGCCCTTCAAATGGCTCGGCAACCTGACCCGACACTACTATGTGCACACCGGACAACGCTTCTTCAAGTGTGACATTTGCCAGAAGGAATTCTTCTCCGCCTATCAGGTGAAACGTCACATGAACTCGCACACGGGTCTGCGTTTCAATTGTGAGGTCTGTGATAAACCCTTCACCTGTAAGTACGCCTGTGCCTGGCACATGCGACAACATTCCACGTCAACCTCCTCCTTTATTGAGTGAATAAGATTTGGCTGGCAAACTTTCGTCCCCCCCTGCTGCATTCACTGTGCAAGTGACTGGACTTGTCTTTTGTATATTTGTTTTTTTTCCTAACTTTCTTGTCGGCCTTGCTCTCAACACGCAGTGGGTTGCTGTGCAGGTTGCAGATCTTCTTGACCCCCACCCCACGAACTTGTACATATATGCATTCACACAGAACTGTATATTGTCTTTCTAAACCCCTCTGGGATCGAACTTTTCAAGAATCGCGTCTTCGTCCTCCGATGCTGCTACCTTTCTGCCCCTTTACAGTTGCTTTCCCGCCGATGAGTTGGCTTTATGTACACATTCCGAGTGTTGAGAACGGCAGCTGATCAGCTGTCTACCTCTTAAGCTTCTCCTTCGCTCTTGAATCTTTTCTTTGCCTTTTTTCTCCTAGACGACACCATAGCTGCGACAAGTTCACTGCTATGAATATACTGTTGCTTGCATGGTTTTCTTTTTCCACCCGAATAGCTGCTTATCCGTGGGATCGAAAGCCAATTATCCTGCTTTACTATCGGGATTCCGCGAACGTCTCGACTGATAATGTTCCCCTAGGTTGCAATGAACATTTGTCTCGAAGGCAATCAACATCTGCCGAATAACTGCGTAGTGCCTATTACACTTATGTGCAGTACTACTAGAAGTGTTATGATCTTATGTGAGAGTGGTCACACCGTACTGCCAATACCGATGGAACCGTAAGATAAGGCACGTGTTTGGCTGACGTTCCCGCTGTTGCATAAGGTGCCTGCTATGGTTACGGGCCCTAACAACATTTCTCCTTGCTGTCTGGCTGGTGAGCCCCAGATAGATGTAAAACAAGGGCTTTTCCAGGCTACTAAGGCAAGGGCTTGGGCATTAATGCCCGAAGCATGAGTACCTAGGGTCGACCCCGAGGTTGCGGTGGTGTGTAAGTCTGTACGAAGCCGTGCGAACCGCCGTTTGTTTTCCGCCTTTATTTTCTTCCAAGATCTTCTTGACTGTGCACTCTGCAGTTCGAGCGTTCAACTGTCTGCTACTCGTCGAAAGTAACGGAAGAAGATCTAGTCGTGTAATTAAAGACTTGTGACTTCTGTCATCGGAACGGGTCCGGGCTTTTCCCACCGACAGCATCTCGAACTGATGCTGCTCATGCTTTGACCTCGAAGCGTGTACTCACAGTAACCCACCCCCATCCAATATTCGGAAGACCGTCGGACCAGCAATTTTGCCGTGCCATATCTTTGCCTTTTTTTCCCGATTGACGGATACAATGCTGACTACGCCGTCTGTTTGGACGAGTTAGAAGATATGATCTGGCTGACTTAATGCCTCAGACGACGATCCCACTGTTGTCAGCACGGGGTGTGCATGTGCTCCTCAGTCAGAAATACTTTTGTTGGATGTGCCGGCCAGCTCACGGTTTATTGCCCTTGACAATAATGGCTTTAAGCCTTATCTGTCACGAAGCTGCCGCATGCTATTTCGAAGATGGCTGCCTATGTAACGGTCTACTTCTACCTAGCCCTTTGTCGACCACACGGAAGGATATGAGTGATCGAGGATTGACTGAAGCTCCTGTGGGTGGGGATCCCATCGTGCCCCTGAACAGCTGCTTCGTCCTCGCTGCACTCAAATTTAGTCATCGGTCTTTGGCCAGCATGCGCTGAATCGCGCTCCCTCGAGGGCATTTTGATGTTGGCCATTGTCGTCGAGGTAGTGAAGGAGTTATCAGCAGGTAGGCCCGCTAATTTTTGTGGATACCTGCAGTAAGGACGGTAATTTACGCGCAGACACGGAACGCA